GCTGAAATGGGTAAATTGACATTTGAAATTAGAGAGCAAGAAGATAAACAATTTTATATGATATGGGATTTGCTTTACTAATGGTTCGACAAAAACACATGGTAATGTAATAGACTAGATAATTTTGTAATAGAAGTTTAATAGATTGATATAAAATATAATATAGACATATATAATTATCCATTGGATGAAAGTACAATATAAATTTCAAAATAAAATTTGGAATATCTCATATAAAATGATGGAATAAATAGTTTAGTCATGGATGATTAATAACTGATAAATATATAAACATATGTTAGTTTGACAATGTGAAAATTTATATAAACTGTGAGTAATGACCATGAAAGGATAGCACAAAAGATTTGTAACCAACTGACACACTGTATGTATATAAAATGGAAGATGGTTTTATGTTTTTTATGTTTTGTTTGTATGTTTGTCTTAAAAAATAAAAACTTTTTTTTAAAAAAAGAGATCTAACTCCACTCTTCCTTGAACTCCAATAACTCTTTATCTACTGCCAATTCACTTTGACTGTTAGCAGTTCAAATTCTTGTAGAACGTTAGTATGCAATACACCTGTATTCATTTGAATTGCCTTGGCTCCTGATTTCCCACATTTGACAGACCATCTTGGAATTCTTATTTTTATTTCTTTGAAATTTTATAATGTTATAATCTTTTAATTTTTAACATTTTAATCCTAAATTAATCTTAATATTTTATTAATTTTATACACTGTTTTATATATAATTATACTGTACACAACAGAGCCTCTCTTTCAGAGATAAGTGGCCTAGAAACATGATTGATTATAGATAGATAGATAGATAGATAGATAGATAGATAGATAGATAGATAGATAATGTTATCCAACAAGTTAAAAGGTCAAACAAAAATTTTATTTATTTTTAAAATCTCCAGTAAAATATGATCTAGTCCTCTCAAAGGCAGCAAAGATCTGTCTACTTAAATTCCCCAGAGACCTCTTTCTAAGCCAAATCAAACTGCTGCACTCAGAAATCTCTACTCGCTTTGGCTAAAGATTAGTATTTTCTTGTACTCTCATGTATATTTTTTTACATGACTTCATGACCACTGCTTATGAATTGCTTACAATATTTTTTCTTTTTTAATACATTTTGTATCTATCTTTATTATGAATTTTTGGAATTTTGTAATGAACACTTTATATTTAGAAATTTTGCAGTACGTTACACAGGAATGCGGGATGGGAGGAATTATCAGTCTTTCCCTGCCAGTTTCCTCATTGACTTTGCTTTGGAAAGCCACAAGAAAGGTCACAAATGACAATCATGTGGTGGCAGGAACTACAAGAGCAAGGGGTAGTACTTCTATATCAGGGATTATTAATGAAGCTCCCAGAGCAGCTGATTAACAAGCCGAAATTCCATCTTCTTAGCATTCATTTTTAACCTGTTAAGTCCTATTCAAACTTTCCAACAAATTCTCAATAGTCTTATCAGTATAGCTGGGAATCTTCACTAAAACAGAAACACTAAGTAATCTTTCATTTTGAATAATCATTATTTTAACATGTTTTAATCATTTAGTCATGTCCAACTCTTGGCAATTTTATAGGCAAAGGCTTTTCATACTATATTTTGATACAGGCATCGTAAAATACTTGTTTTGTACTCAATTGTATATTATAATAAAGACAAGAAATGTTTTAATACACTGAAAGTCAATGATATTTTCATTTGAAAATGTGAATAGATTCAAACTAAATAGGTATCTCCCTACTCATGATATTTAATAAGAAACTTCTTTAAGTGTGTTCATGGGCTTGCTAGGAATCTAATGTAACTTGAAAGTTTACAGTTATATAATTCTTAATTCGTTACAATACAGTTTTAGTCCATAAGTTTAAAAATAAGAATTATTTGTATTGTATTAAGTTGTTAAAATTGTAAACTTAATTAAAATAAACTTTAACTATAAATTTAAAGATTTAAATATTTATTTTTGGGTGGGAAATCAAACTTGACAGAAAACATGCATTCTTCTTTCATGTCCAAACATAGTATACCTTTCTATAATAAGGTTACTAATTCATCTCACATTGGGGTTTAAGTGGAATCTTAAACTGTTTTCTACAACTCTCATGAATTCATTCTCATGAATTACAATGAAACTCTCAATTTGAAAACAGAGATATTTGTATTTATAAATGGACTGATATAATTTGAATTCTTGGGCTATTACTCTGATTTAAATGCTGTGCTGTTACAGAAGTTTGTGCAGCCCAGAACATGCACAAAAAACTAAAAAAATTTAATATTCTGTCCATTGCATTTCTATTTATTTCCATAGTACATCAGCTAATTAGAATATATACTAATATACACTATATCCCCCAAATTACAATATTTCATTATAGCTCTTCAGCAGAGTTTGTACAAGCTCACCTCTTTTCTATTGCACAAGTTTTATTTTAATTTAAGTAATACGTTTTCCAATATAGAGGATGCTTTTGATTCTTTTCCACAAAAACTGGTATGGCAACATGTCTTACCATGAGAAAATGAAATAAATCCAGAGGTATGGAAAAAAGTGATCAAAGTGTGCTGCGTTAGTCTTCTGTTTCTCTTTTGACAGTAAAGTAATTTTATGATATTTGTGACACAATGAAGGACAAAGATAAGCCAACTGTTTAGATTCTTCTCCTTTATGTTATGGCTTTGATCACTAACAATGCTGCGTGAACAGCCAACAGAAGGCTGACATTTCATAAAATATGCAGTGATAAAAACTAATACTGAAGCATCTGGGAATGATATACAAAATGCAGAAATACACCTAATAACTGTGATCTTAAATAACAAGTTACAAAAAAAGTGACTTGGATGCATGCTTGAATTACTTGACATCAAAAGTTTTGCATTCTTAAAAGGTTTCAAATATTCATCTCAAAAAATATAAATCAATTTTGCAACCATTTTGTAGATGCCAAAGTCTACTTTAAAGCAGACATCTAGCAAGGTATCTCTTTACATTTAAATATTAACTGTAGCTAACTATATAGCACTTATACATTATCTTAACTTTTTCCAGATGTTTTCTATCTCAAAAACTATATGAATAGCATTTTTCAGAAAAACTTCGTAATTGTTTTCGTACAGCAGAATATATAAAACCCTTCTAGGAAACATCTCTAGTAAATCAAAATGCAAAAGTATGTGTTAATTCAAAAAGGAAACAAGTGTTCTGAGAGTCATGTAACAGCTGGAAAATATGACTATGTTTTTACTAATGCTTAGTGTGAATTTACTTGTTTCATATATTTGCCAAAAAAACCAATTCATTTTTATTAGGATTCATTTGATAAGGTCAATTTTGCCTATAACATGTAAAGAAAAGAATTGATGAGCCATTCTTCCTATGGAAAGGAACTTTCACAGGAGAACTGGTGATGACAACAATGGTTTACTATTCATGAAGGTTTGAGCGATATTTTCAAAATCGTATGCTTACTATTATTAATTTGCTCTTCTTCTTATAAAAGTTTGCTTATACATAGTTCTTGGGTATTTTTTAAATGAATCTGAACAGTTTCAGATTTGAATCCAATCAGTTTTGAATCTGAGTACAGTGACCCACAATGTTTTTATCTATCCTGACCCTCTGAAGCTACAATATATTTCCCTGGCACAATTTTTTTCCCCAAATAGTCTCAGTTAGGCAGTGTAGCGCATCATTTGATCTCCTTCTCAGTTTCCTGTTGATAAGGAGCTCAGCCAGAGTTACAAGAAGGTGATGAGGCAATCTCTGAACATGAATAGAACCTCAACAAAAAATAATTAAAATTTGATAAGAATAACAGTAAATTAACTGTTAAATACCATACCATCTTAAGTAATAATTTCCTATTTTCTCTCTTATTAAGAATTTTGGGAAGTTTTATGTTGTATGTATACCTCTACTCTAAAGTAAAACTGAGAAACTCTAATTCAAATATAAAGTTCATATAGACTTATGTCAACATAAGTCTTTATATAGACTTGTGTCTTATTTATTCAAAATCAATGAAAACCGTGCAACATATTTTCAGGTTATATGAAAAATTTACTATTGAAATAGAAAATATTTGGACAACCTTACACATGGTTTTTAATTTAAAAGCTTTAAATCAATCTCGGTTTAAAAAAAAAACATTAAGTCAGTCTAATGACGTTAAACATGAATTTTTATTTTACAATTTAAGATTTATGCTAACAATAAAGTCAGAAAGCAACAGGATTGCTCCTGTATTTTAAGTGATTCCATTCTCTGAGATTAATCTTATTGGCTAGGGATATATATTACAACTCCCTTGAGGGCCACAGACTAGTAAAATCTCAACTTGCTTGCTTGCTTATTTATTTCCCATTCCAATCCAGGTTGACAAAGAATAGGATACAACAAAATCCAAATAATACATTACAAAATATTTCTTATTATAGAAATTAACAAGGAAAAAATAATTCATTAAAGGTACCATTTAATTAAGATTTTAAAAAATCTGCTGGAACATAACTGGTTTAACTGTTTTAACAGCATTATCCTGTTTAAAAAAGAGTAAGAGCAATATTTATACCTGCTCTTATTTACTGTTCCATAATAACAAGGCAATCGCTGAACCCTGGGATGGGGGATCTGCAATAGGCCTTGTCTAGATGATCGGATTAGCAAATTTTGGATGTGATTAGTATTATCCTACTGCCACTTATCATTTCTGAGTAGTTAATGCAGAAAGGCAGCAATGATCCTTCCACTCTGTTTATATTTATCTTCATCTAAAAATCTAATTCTTATTTTTTTCATCTCTGCTTCTCTATCTCATTTTTATTGATGTTTTAACTTTAGACTGTATGTTGGCTGGCAAAGTCTGATCTTTATAATTTGTTCTGAGAGGGTTTTTTGGCTAAAAAGCTGAATAAAAAAGTTTTAAACAAATAAACTCAGCAATAAGTACTGCTGAGTCCAGTATGGAGCCTTCCTAGAGCAAGGGGTTAGAAAAAGTTCCCAATTATCAGAAAGAAGAGTAATAATTTTGGTAAAATTATCAATCTGAAACTGGCTTTTTCTGTATTCCAGAGACTGATTCAAGTATGTTGATTATTTGTGGCAATGCAACTGAATTCACATATAGTTTTCTACCGTTTTGAAACAAAAATAGTGTAAAGTATTCTCGCAAATATTGTCATCCAAAATTATTTTCACTTTTTAAGAACGCTTAAGATTGCTTAGATCAGAACTGAACACATTTTTATTTATTTATTTATTTTTGTCAATTGCTTACAAAATAATAGGTATGTAAAAACATAGTTATGAATACATGGATACATATAAGAAAAATAAAAAATAAAAGAAACAATAGGACAGGGACGGTAGGCACGTTGGTGCGCTTATGCACGCCCCCTACAGATCTCTTAGGAAAGGCGTGAGGTCAATAGTAGACAGTCTAAGGTTAAAGTTTTTGGAGTTTGGGGAAGAAACCACAGAGTCAGGTAGAATATTCCACACATTGACCACTCTATTGCTGAAGTCGTATTTCCTGCAATCAAGTTTGGTGCGGTTAACCTTGAGTTTGTATCTATTGTTTGCTCTTGTGTTGTTATGGTTGAAGCTGAAGTATTCATTGACAGATAAGACATTGCAATGTATGATTTTATATGCTATATTTAGATCGGACCGAAGGTGGTGTAGTTCAAGGTTTTCTAGGTCTAGAATTTCGAGTCTGGTGGCATAAGGTATTCTGCAACGAGTAGAGGAGTGGAGAACTCTTCTTGTGAAATATTTCTGGACTTTCTCAACTGTGTTAATATCAGATACGTAATGTGGGTTCCAGATTGATGAGCTGTATTCGAGTACTGGTCTAGCAAATGTTTTGTATGCTCTAGTTATTAGTGTAATATTACCAGAGAAAAAGCTACATAAGATTAGGTTAACAACTCTTAACACCTTTTTGACTATGTAGTTACAGTGGGCTCTAGCACTTAGCTCATTAGAGATGAGTACTCCAAGATCCTGGACAGAGTTTGGATCATCAACAAGGTCTTGACTATTCAGCCTGTATTTTATTTTCTGATTTATTTATTTATTTATTGCCAATATGTAGGACAGAGCATTTATTTGTTGAGATTGGAAGTTGCCATTTGTTTGACCATTCTGATACATAGTCAAGGTCTTTTTGAAGGTAGCAGTATTGTCTGCGGTGTTGAATAGCTTTACATCATCAGCAAAGAAAAGGCAGTTGCTCTTGATATATGATCACAGAGGTAATTTATGTAGAGTATGAAAAGAGCTGGTCCTAGAACACTGCCTTGGGGGACACCACTGTTGACAAGTACAGAATTGGTCCGTAATTTTCAACTAGGCTGGGGTCTCCCTTTTTGAAGATGGGGATGA